TTTTGAACCATCAGCAGTGCTTACTGACTGGATAGTTTCAACAGTAAATTCAGAATTTATAACTAATATGATTTTAACATACCATTTATGATAAGTTATTTTTTTCAATTCATTTAAATATTCATTTTGTGTAGAATTAGATGATGATTATGGGGATGCTTTATCATCCTTAATGTCACTTTATCTAAGGGACAATTTTTCTAAAGTTAAAAGTCTAACCTTTATGACTTTTATTTCTTCTTTGACATTATGAACTTCTTTCTTTAAGTCTTAGACCGTAGTAGGCAAAATTTCCTTTTTATGGCATGTATTTTCAATCATGTCACTTTCGGTTCTATTAATAATTTCTTTTAAAGAATATGGTTGAGATAAATTAGGTCTCTTTTCTTCTGAATTTATCTCTAAATATTATTCAATAGCTTTTCTTTTAGAATTTGGATCTTGAATTTTATCTATAAGATCAAGAATAAATGTTTGTGAATTAGTCAAAGTATTGATAAATCTTCAACTAATAAAGCTTCAATTGCTACATTTATTGTTCACTCTACCAGTATAAATACTGAAAATAATTTTAATCCCGTTGAAGTTCTTAAAGATAAAAATGGTGTTCCCAAAATTACCAATTGATTTAAATTATCAATAAGCATAAAAGTGGTAGGGATACATTTTTTTGCACAAAGTTACTGTCGAAGAATTGATCTCACATCCTCAAGGTTGTTAGTGAAATACAATAATCCTTCTTTTGTTTTTCATATGGTAAGAGAGTACCTAGACAAATTTGCAAATTAAAGGAATAATTGGGGGATTTTTAATTATAATGGGTCAAAATGCAATTAGTTTCAAATTGAAGGATTAAAAATACTATTAAGAGTAAACTATACATATGACCCTTAAATTATGATCCTTGTGTCAATTAAGTCTTTGAACTATTTTTTTTGTGTCAATTGAGCTATTATATCTGCCTCTGTTAGAATGTGCTACTCACGTGACTATATGACATAAAAAGAAAGAAGAGTTTAATTGATATAATTAGAGAGTTTAGGAGTTCAATTGACAAAAAATAAAATAAAATTTAGGAACCTAATTGACACAAGAATCATAATTTGAAAGTTATATGTGTAGTTTGCTTCAACTCATTTGTGTTACGTGACTGACACACTTCATCACTTTTTGTTAGAAAATTTAATGAAGGCAGACAAAATAGTTCAATTGACACAATTAGAGAGTTTAAAAATTTAATTAACACAAATAAAATTCAAAATTTAATTAACACAAAGACTATAATTTAAAGATTATATGTATAATTTACTCCATAATCAACCTCAACCAGAAAAGCCTGATCAAAACCCTCTTGTGTTCCTTAAACTTAGGGGTGTTCAAATTTTTGATTGACCGTAATTTCCTATTTTACCTTACTGAACAACTAGCCTTAAAAATGGGCTAGGAATGCGCAAGAGTTTTTGGTCTTTCGATTAAATCGGGTAGAAATACAAAATACCCATCAATTTTTGCATTCGTACCTTACCCTACCCATAAAAAATATATTTAACTTTTTTATATTTTTTTTAGTAATTATAAGAGTATTTGTGTGGTATAATTTATATTATAATATTGTTGTTGTTGTACATGTTTGAATTGCGAAAACATGGACTTGTTTTTTATGTAGATTACATGATTTGTGGTGAACTGGTAATCCATTGGAGCAGTTATGATTTTAATGTGTTTCATATGGTTTAAACGTAAAATAATTGTTATTGTATTTGTGTAACAATTATGATGGATTGATGTTCATGCTTTCTTATGTTTTATTATAATTGTTGTTGTAGTTGTTTTAAATTTTAGTGTAAATTCATTTATTATGTTGTTAAATTGGTGCATGTTATTTAATTGTATTGTTAAAATGATCTAAAAATTAATAGCTACAAAAGTATTTATCCGACTTCCTATCCGATTAATCGGATAGGAAGTCGGATAAAAATATAATATTTGATCGGGTAGAATAGATCAAGAAAAAATTATTCTACAAAGTGTCACGTAGAAAGACAAAAAAATTATAGCTCCTACTCATAGGATAGGATAAACACCTTTTTCCAAACTGACCATACTAGGACCCATAGGTCCTTTTATATGTTCTCGAAAAGTCGTCAGATTATTAAAACTGTGCCAAGTGTCACAATTTATAATCTCACGCTAACGTTAATCATAAACTTGCCAAAAACCAAAAGATCTATTTCGAATAATAATTTCTGATCAACCAATCATGATCTAATGGTTATAATTGAATGGTACAGACAATCTTGTTCTTGTTTTCATACCATCTGATAGTTGTACCAGATCCAATCTGTATCCATATACTTGTCTTTGATTGAATCTAGTCAAGTTGCGTGTAAATAAATTTAAATAATTTCGGAAGTTAAATTTTCTCAAACTTTTTGCAGTTGTTGTAGTGACTAACATGTCATTAAGCAAGTTAAATCTATTTTATATAAGCACGTCTTCTTATTAATAAAAGGTCTATGATTTACAAGTTTATTTAATTTAAAAAACAAACATAGATTGATTTAATATTGCATAAGGAAAAAATTGTAAAACCACAAACCTCGAATTTGAATTTTTCGATTTCATAAAAATGGGACAAACCAATGTAAGTAAATTTACAAGCATAGTCGTACTCTTATAAGTGTGTAATTGAAATAATAAGTATTAGTCTTTTTTAAATTGAATGGAGTTTTTTAATTTTAATTTCATAACTGAATATCACATTTGTAAATGTATTATATATTTTTCATACATAATTTAATTAAAATTGATCAAGGAGCAATGATATTGAAAAACTAGTCATTACCCGTGCCTGAAAACACTATGTAACACAAAAAAAATTGTAAACAGTTGCCTAGATTTAAAAAGAATGACTAAAAAACTTTCATACTAATTTTTCTTTTAAAATAACTTCAAATATATTATCGACCGTATCCTCTATATTAATGGAATTATCATAAAAATGTTCAAAAAAATCACCAAAATAACATCACATATACAAATATCTCAAAACAACATCACATGTAATTTATCACCACTATCACCATTTAACTCAATGATACAACTTAAATATAAACTCAATTACTAAAATTTCAACTCGCTAAAAAAATAACACATTATTCAATAAAAAACATATGAGTTAAAAGAAAAATGAATAAAAACACACGACTTCCACCTTTCTCTCTTTCAAAGAGAAAATGCAGCCTAATAACACAACATTTAGGAATCCAAAGGCCGACAACGTCTCAAAATTTGTCAGCTTGTCACAAATAAATAAATAAAAATAATATTATGATGTATGAATTTGTACCAAAAAATGAGTAAAAATACAAAGAGCATATTATGCTCAAGAGAAAATTCCTGCTATGAAGCAACAAATAAAAAGAAACCCTTTAAAATAGTTTTTGCAAGAAAACAAAAGAGGCCAAAAATTATTGTTCATACAATTCATCTCTCATCAACATGTTGAACTTGCATCAAGTGAACAGTATAAGGAGAAAAAAGGACTGTACAATTCATACAACATCAAATATTGAACCAAATTCGTGAAGCCATCGTAACACATTCCCTGGAAATGCAACTTTATTTTCCNAATTCATACAACATCAAATATTGAACCAAATTCGTGAAGCCATCGTAACACATTCCTTGGAAAAGCAACTTTATTTTCCAAGAAATGTAGGCAATAAACCACATTATTCACAATGTAAGCACAATAGCAAAAATGGTTTAAGCATCGAAGTTGATGAGATCAAATTGAAAAGGATTAAAAGCAAGGATAACTATCTAAAATTAATCAACACACATTGTGCAATTTAGGATAGCAAGAATGTAAAACACTTCAATAGAAAAATAGCAAATCTAAGTCAATTAATCCCTTAGACTTTCCATCAGTTTTACCTTTCTGAACACTTGTGACTTTCCCATCTCCACCCATATATTCTTTATGGCCTGCTGGCAACCTATTTTGTAAATTGAGGGAGGCAACTTTTTCTACAATTAGAAAGATTGAATTCGTCAGCATGTCTTCCAGCGATATCCAAATAACACTTACTCGTACACAAATATTCTTCAAACAAAGATCATCTTTCAGAATGGAAAAGTAGTATAAATTTTACCATAGAACCTAGTATCTTGAATTGTCTTTAGTTGTTTTCCATTGTTATAGATAGTTAGAGAGAGAGAGTAAGAAAATCCAACCTCTTCAGACGGTGGTGGATGGCAGCGATGTAGAGAGGGAGAAACGTCTTCTTCAAAGAGTCTTGAAATGAGACATAGAGAGTGAGAGGCAGACATCTTTAGAGTTCTAGAATGAAAGGTATTTAGAAATTTAGGGATTAATTATGATCGTTGGATTAATAATTATCAAAATATCAGAGCCGCAAAAAATAAAAAATAAAAAAATTTAATTACTTTATTATATAGATATATAGAGAGAGAGCAGATGAGATAGTGCGTTTAAAACGTCTAAAAGATAAGAGAGAGAGTTATATGAGAGATAGGAATGTTAAAGNAAAATAAAAAATAAAAAAATTTAATTACTTTATTATATAGATATATAGAGAGAGAGCAGATGAGATAGTGCGTTTAAAACGTCTAAAAGATAAGAGAGAGAGTTATATGAGAGATAGGAATGTTAAAGTTAAGTTCAATTATGATCGTCAGATAATTATTTATGAGATGATCTGAATTGCCTTTTATGTTGGGATTACGTTGTCCATTAGATGTATTTATGTTTTGTCTCAAAACAATCTGAACATTTCTTTCTCTCTAAAAATCAAACTCAACTCTATTTTATTATATAAATATTGATAAAAAAAAAGGAAAGGCTTATTTATGAAACCCACTAGCAATCAACGGATGGCATGTGGCATGAAGTTTGGCAGTACGGTGAGCTTAAGCGCACCTGAATTTTCCTTCTCACGCGGAGTGTGGAAGAAAGGACTAAGCCCAGGCGCTCGCTCTCTCTCTCTCTCTCTCTCTCTCTCTCTCTCTCGGTTTCTGTTATCGATTTGCTAAAGTGCGCACGGGAGAGATCGGCGCACGCTGAAAAAGGTGAAAATTAGGAGAACTGTGAAGGTGCGCATAGTAGCCATCATCGTTATTGGTCGGACGGTGAACCGATCAAGATTTACATTCTACGGGTAATTGTATCAAAACTCTCTCTCTCTTAAAAATCTATCTTCCATGGCCGATCTCCCTCTGCATTTTCTGTCTCTATGTTTATGATCTGTTGTTTATTCAAATCAACATCCCTCTCTTGACAGAGAAGCAGATACAGATATAAATTTTAGGGTTTTTTTGCTGGGTAGATTGTTCAATGGCCGCTCCACAGGGAAGGGCTCGAGCAGACTACGATTACCTCATAAAGCTCCTCCTGATCGGCGACAGTGGTAAGTCCTTTTGCCAGTTTCGAAAATTTACAGCTTTCAATGTGGTCACCGATGTTTTTGCGTGCCTTTATGTCGATCGAGCGTTTAAATTCGACTTTTAAATGCTTCTTGTCTGAACTCAATGCTTGAAATAGTTAAGTTTTGTACGGATCTAGCTTGATTAAAATTCTGTTGACCTAATTTTTGAGCTATTTATGTTGGAAATATATATTTGGAATTCACGTTGTGAAATATTAGGATCGTCCTTTGTGCCGGAAAGAAAAAGTGTAGGCATCATCCTACTGGACCAATAAAACTTCTTGTCCTGTGTTGCAGTGTTGTTCTGGCAGTTCCGGGTGGTGTACATTCATTTGCATGGAAAACTACATCTCCAATTTGCCTTGTGCTCCTTTTCTGTTTTATTTTTAGGTCTAATCATTTTACTGAAATCGACTTTAAGAAAAAACCATTAGGGTAGGATTAGACTTGCCTTTGCATATAGATTTTCTGGAGAAAATGCCCATGTCTTATTTTCATGCGTTATTCATGTTACTCTATATGGCCGAGAAGGTGTAAAATTTCTATTTCTTCTTCTGGGCTATGTTATACTCATTATAGGAGATGCCACTATATTTCTGCCTATGCTCTATGGGGTTTCTAGTTTGGAAATCTACTATATGTTTGATGCAAGCATATCATTCAATACTTAGTGCTTGATGGTTATGTATAATGTACACTTCCACCGAGTTTGTGTCCACGATTGGCATTCAATATTTCTGTTGTCTCCATCGGCAAGTTCTACTTCTTATTCATCTTGCAAGATTGTGTCACATGACTACATTGTGGTCATGAACTGAAAAAATACGATTAAATATTGCTTACGGATTGTCTTAACTTCTTGTTATTTAATCTTTCAGGTGTGGGTAAGAGTTGCCTTCTTCTGCGTTTCTCTGATGGTTCCTTCACCACAAGTTTCATTACCACCATTGGGTGAGTATACGGGTCATTGTACCACTCAGTTGTAGTTTTTCTGGCGATTGCTTCTGACCTTCCTTGTTCACAATATATTGTGCAGAATTGATTTTAAAATCAGAACCATTGAACTTGATGGCAAACGAATCAAACTCCAAATCTGGGATACAGCTGGTCAGGAACGGTTCCGTACGATCACAACCGGTAAGTTTTGGACACTAGTTGTTTATTTTAAATTTTCTATACATCATTTGTATTTTCTGTGGAGTCTATCTTCTGTTTTTGTGGTTGCTTGTATATCACCAATGAAGGAAAATCTAATGGGCTGAAGTTCCCTCATTTCTACATCCTTCGTCTTGAAGGTGCTTCTGGGTTGAAGCACACAATCCTTGCAAAGGACCATAATGTTTTTAATTTCATACACATCTGGCTAATTGTAAAATTAAAGTTGAAGAGCATTGAAGAAGTATGTATTTGGTAAGAGTATCTTGCTCTTCTATTATGATCTGTTTGATTTTTGTGACATGAATAGTGGAAAGTTAGCTTCTATTTTGTGATGGTGTTACTTTGACTTTTTAAGTTTTATGGCATACATCTATGTAAATTCTCAGCTACACCTCTTAGCACAAGTATAAATAATTGACTTGTACGTCTTTTTTTGAAATAAAATTTCTTTCCAGCTTACTATCGTGGAGCCATGGGTATCTTGTTGGTGTACGATGTTACGGACGAATCGTCTTTCAACAGTAAGGTTTCCTTCCATACCAATTGGATCATCTGATGTTATTATCCCTCCATCCCCCTCCTCCCAAACACAAAAGGAAGAAATCATCTGATATGGGGATTTCTATGATTTCTTTTCTAATTCGTTTGTAATAATTGATTTTTATGATTTTGTGAATCACTGAAACCTATCATTTGGTGTTTTATGCCAACATTTTTGTGCATCAGTGAAGCACACTTTCTATGTAACTTCTTTAATATCTGGGGAATTTGAAATCTATGTTGCTATGTTGCTATATTAGAGCAATTGTCATGATTGACGGTTACTGTTTTCTTGTCTTCTGAACCAATTCTAAAAGTTTGTCTTCAGACATTAGGAACTGGATTCGCAACATTGAGCAACATGCTTCTGACAATGTGAACAAGATACTGGTAGGGAACAAGGCTGACATGGATGAAAGCAAAAGGGTATGCTATTTTATGTGAATCCAATTTTTATTTCGAAAAGGATGGACCCAATTATTTTGAATTAAGCATTTTCATTTATTTAAATTGCTTGAAGTTTCAATCCTAAGCAGCTTGTGCCTAAATCTCCTTAACATGACTGAGGTTGTTCATGAATCCCACAGATTTGAACATTCTGTTACTATTTAAAATCTTTGCAGGCTGTGCCTACTTCCAAGGGCCAAGCACTTGCTGATGAGTATGGCATCAAATTCTTTGAAACTGTAAGTATGCTGGATTCTGCTTAACAAATTATTGGTAACATCTGTCACTGTATACATGTTAGTAGATCCTGTTTGCTGCAGAGTGCGAAAACAAATCTCAATGTGGAGCAAGTGTTCTTTTCAATAGGAAGGGATATAAAGCAAAGGCTTGCGGACACTGACACAAGGGCAGAGGTAAATCACCTGGGCTAATGTGAACATAATTGCATAAAATAGACCACGTTGTGTTTCAACTGGTGAAACTGCTTTGGTTGTGTGGTTGCAGCCCACGACAATTAAGATAAATCAACCCGATCCAGCAGCTGGGCCTGGTCAAGTTGCCCAAAAATCAGCTTGCTGCGGTTCGTAGATATACGACATATTGCTGGAGCAAGGTCACTTCGTAGATGCTACACTGCCAAGACCTGAGGGAAAAACCCAAAAGAAAAAACTAATTGTGATGACACTATGGTGGGTGCCTGTAACTTTTCTTATTCGTCTGTCATTCTTTCCAAACTTGGTTTAGTGTGTGGAAATATGTTTTGTATGATTTCAGAAATTTATTTTGTGCCCACACGGTCTTCTGTTTTGTCCCACTACTTTTCTTTTATCTTGGTGACGATTTTTCCTTGGGTTTGTTCTGTTTCTCCCATATCTAGACAACACGCAAACAATTGCCTTTCTATCTTTTGCGAAAAATGATTTATAGCTATGAACCTTGGGTTGATTAATTGCAATTGATACCTTGTATGTTTAGAAATACCAGTGATGTGATTATGTGGTTTATGATGCTTTCCATAGTGTCAATCAAGTGATGGTTTAGAGTCGAGTAAGGCTATTGGAACTTGAAAATTCTAATGTAACTTCCTGACTTGGACATGGTCTAGAGCAGTATTACAACTGAAACTGTTAGGTTGAAAATAATCTAAGGCTGAAGCGGGGTACTATTCCGACTGTTCAGACCACCAGTTCGGCAGCACAGTAGAAACAAATTAAGATCTCCACAAGGATACTGGTGGCGGTGAAGATCCGAAAACATGTGAAGGAAAAATGATATTTAATATCCGAAAAGTTTGCAAATTGCAGCTTAAAATACTAGCACTTTAAAATACTAGTAACATACACGTGAATATATTTAAATAATAATTTTTTAATAAAAAAAAAAGTTATATTTATGATTAAATTAAATAATAAATTTTGTGTTGAATAATTAATTTTTATTTTTAATTACTATTAAAATTTATTATTGATCAATTCTATTCCTCTTTGATTGCCTAATTTGTTATTTAAGAGTCAAATATTACTAATAAAAGAGTCCAAAAGAACTTAAAACTATCTATCATTGATTCTATCTATGAATCTAAGTTAAAAGACTTCGTTTTTGAGTTCCTTGGATTGGGTCGTTTCTACCAATGAAATGAACTTGGAGCTCGTTCCGAATACTTCTTCGATCCTGAAGTTCTCCCAAAGAGAATAAGATGTTGCTCTCCTTTCCTCTGTCTTTTCCCGCTTTGCTAATCTTTCCCTTTAACGCGGGCCGGGCGGCGGTTGGCGTGGAGGAAGAAATCTAAGTCAAATAAATATAAAAAATAAAAGTTAGATAAAATAAAAGATTAAATATTTTTTACAAAACATTAAACATCATGTGGGACTCAAACTCTTATTATGGATGACATCTAAAACTATTAACAGTTTTAGATTGACACACAAAGTTACTCCTTTCCACTAACTTTAATTTAACACTATATATAATAGTCCAGTACACTAAGCCCAGGTAAAGTATTCACACACACACACACAAACAAAAAAGAAAAAATAGAGATTATAGTTATAGTTTGGAGATTTTAATCATGGAAAAAATAGAGATTATAGTTATAGTTTGGAGATTTTAGAGATTTGCTTTTAGGGAAATTAATCATTAATTACAATAACTAGGTAGTGGATTAAGTAAATATATTTAATATATCACGGCTACTACCTTTTATCACCTATATAATATTATAATTCAACAATCAAACATCAAAATATACAACATGTTGTGCATATTGGATTGTGTTAGATCGGGTTATCATTAATGCATATGGTATTTTATTATTGAATTATAATACTAGGTATTGGATAAAAAAAAAATTAAAATACTAGGTAATGATGTGGTATCACAATTGTTAGATGTATTACTATTCCTACGCTTCTTATTCGAATATGATATCACTTATCACTAATACAACTAAGCCTTAGTCTAGGGCAGTGAATGCATGTATCATTAGCTAGCTTTACGGGATCTTAATTAATTCTCACTTACCTAATGTGTAATTGTCTATTTGGCACCCTCAATATATAAATTCTAATGAACGTGTTGTTGATTGCTTACTCCGATCATACCAAAAAAAAGAAAAAAGAAAAAAAATAAATTACAGTGGGTGCAGTACATATTGCACAAGTATTTTTTGTTAAATCATCCACACACAGATGCATGCATGATACGCATTCCGGACGAAAAAAATTTTCAACTTCATATTTATCATTTCTACAAATATAACCCTCTTTGTCCTCTCACTTCAATCACACGAGCTTTTTATCTATTCTCATTCAATCACAGCATAAGAATAAAAAAAAATCAAATTAAGTCCAAAAATATAAGTATGTATGAGTTTGAAAATCAAATACAAGTTAAACTATAATTGAAAGTTACATTGAGTTTGGATTTCAACCCATTCAAAATGATTGAGTTGAATTCTTTGTTACATTCTACAGAAGTATATTCTACAATCAAAGTTCATAATAGCTACTCAATAAAAATATAATTTTGGGACATAAATTAGAATGAATAATTAACAAGTTCTTATAGTATACTACCAATCTAATAATTACAAAATAATAATTTTTAAATCATATTTTCAAATTATGTCATAATAGTATTAATGATAAAATAAATATACCCACAAATGGGAAATTTCTCGTATGCCCACCAAGTGCTTGTCCCATTGTAAACTTGAGGCCACAAATGGAGCACTCGTGTGTCTCAGGCTTGATTTGCTAGATGAAGAAGATCTACCATCATTAGTTTCGGTTTCTTGCGACTCGTTTGGAAGGAAGGAAACTTTTTGATGCAAGCCTTGACCCGACGATGATTATGATGTAATCTCACTCAGGGCATTCCATCATTAATTAGGACTTAAAAAGAGAATTTTACATAAAACTCCGATCAGTGTTTTAAAAAAATTATAAAAAAAATTCATGATTACTAAACATTTTATAGAGAATTTCGATGTAATTTAGTTCTAACATTTTAGTGATTTTGGGATTGAATGAGATTAGACAATCAATTAAGTACAATTATGAAGTCCTGATTTTATTTAAAGAGATAGTCAAAGAGTTATAGATAGGGATAAGGAGTCACAGTAAGACAATTAGAGTGGGAGAGAGATAAAGACTTGGAGAGGGGGTGAGAGTGGAGAAAAAGTGTGTGAAAGAAATTTGAGAAAGAGTGTTATTTATAACACTAAAAATCAATTTGTTTAGAAGACCTTCTTATATTTTAGAGCTTTCTATAAAATATATATATATAACAATCACATTAGGTGAAAGGTGGCTTAAAAAGCTTTCCCTCCCACTTTCCTTTTTTTCTTAAAATTTAGAATTTTTTAATTCAAACTTAGGGCTCCCTCCAATCAGACCCTGACATGTGTCATTAGTAACTATCCACTAATTTTAATAACTAACTATTAATTTTTAAAATTTTTCAAAAATTCAATTTTTATCACCCAAAAACTTAAATATAATTATTTATTTAACTTCTCATGCAATAAAATAAAAAATTAAAGAAACAGGAATTATAATCTCGTGCACCAAACGGGCCAACTACTAGTGTTATTATATTTTAGGGTTATTTATAAGGTTTTACATAGAGTTGTAAAATTCATTGGGTCTGTAATTTAGTTCATTCAAAATAGTCTTAGAACATGAAATTGAACTACGGGCCAAAAATTATATTGGGATTTTAAATTTTTGGGGCATTATGCGATTATTTTAATAGTCGAGCCTTAGGGTCAACCCTATTGTGCCTCCACCCATCCAAAGGATTAAAGTGTTTGTATCTCGCAAAAATTATAGTCTTTGCGAGTTTCTTACCGATGAGTAGATTAATGTTTTATGTCTTTAGTTATTTTAAAAATATTGCACTCATAATAGATAAAAAAATAAAAAGTAGGATTAAAAGGGAGAAAGGATAAAAATAAATACCTTGATTTGTGTTTCAATTTTAAATAAGAACAAAAATATAGCTAGAGTGAGAGCGCGTGTGTATGTGAGAGACAGAATGATTAGTAATATCTAATATACACTACTTTTTATACATTTTCAATTATATTGTTTTTTTGCTAGATTTAATTTTGTGTGTTATTAGACTAGACTTTTGGCCCAAATCATTTAACTAAAATTTTTTGTTGGTTGAAATTTTAGTTGAGTTTTTTGTAGAACTTAATTTTATAGATTTAAATATTGGAAGAATTACATCCAGACCCCTTTTTGTTGGTTGAAATTTTAGTTGAGTTTTTTATTGGACTTAATTTTTATAGATTTAAATTTTGGGAGAATTACATCCAGACCCCCTGAGATTTGTTATTTAATCACTCAGACCTCTTGATATTTAACATATTACACACATACGCGCGTAACACTTACACCTATGCTGTAAATATATTAATTAATAAATTACACTTAAATCCTCTAAAGTTTGTAGGTATATAATACTTAGACCCCTTAAGTTTAAAATATTTTACTTAGACCAAAAATACTTCAATCAAAGATAGAATATCAAATATTTTAATTGTACAACCAAAATTCATGTTCAATTGTATCATGTTCAATTGTATACAATTATACTATCTATTGGAATAAAACAAAAAAAATAAAAACAATGGGTCTAAGTCATTCATAATAAAACATGAATTTTACATCCAAAATTCATGTTATATTATGCTATTTATTGAAATAAAATAAAAAATAAAAAACTAATTTTTTTCAAAAAATCATAGCTTTTATATAATTATACTATCTATTAAAATAAAACTAAAAAATTAAACAAGTGGTCAAACTGTAATTAACACAAAATCTTTTATCTTTAATTCGGGTAGTTTAGTATTTTAATTTGTTCATTTAAATGACCAAATTAAATTCTAATAGACAATATAATTGTACACTAATTACAATTTTTAAGAAAAAAATAAATTTTTATTTTTGATTTTATTTCAATAAATGATACAACATAACACAAATTTTAATTATAAAATTTAAAATATTTATTATTTTATCTTTGATTGAAATTTTTTTAGTCTAAATATAACATTTTAAAATTAAGAGATTTAAATAATATATGTTTACAAACTTCAAAGGGGTCTGAGTGTAATTTATTAAAGAATATATTTACAAAAAGGGTGTAAGTGCTACTTGCATACAAATTTTAGGAGGTCTGTGTGTAATATTTCAAATGTAAAAGGGTTTGAGTGATTAAGTGACAAACCTCAAAAAGTCTGGGTGTAATTCTCCTTTAAATTTTTGGTACAAGCTATGTTACTTAAACCTATAAATTTTAGGGGCTCAGAGAGGCCAGTACCTCCCAAAAAACTTAATAGGATAAAAGTACATTTTTTTAAATAATTGGGATAAAAGTATATATGCTAAAAAAAAGTCATAAAAACCCTTTACTCCTACTATCAATAATGCATACCTAATTGAATGTAAGACTTTCAAGATTCCTTTTGATAT